CTTTTTCTCCCTCACTCACAATCACTAAATTATATTACTTTATTTTCTTTTCTTTTCTCTCTCCCTCAGTTTTTACTGATGGTCAATGGTCAGTGGGTTCAGTATTAGATTCATTCAATATTCCTTTATTGTATGAACTAATACTAAAAGAAAGAAGAAAGGAATTGATTGGAATGAATGAATACATAACAGTAAAGAAGCTTAATGAGTCTTTACATCATAACAACCAATCACTTCAGGAAGCATTATGTGAGACTCAATCACTATCAGATCAGTAAAGCAAAATTATGTCCATTAATATGTTTAAATTATAACTATTGCCTTAACATTGAAAATCAATATACATTATTACATGATTGCGATTCTATTGCTATAGATACTTTATATACAATGTATACTCTTAAATTTATTTTTAGTCTCTACTGCTGCTATTCTTATGGAAAAAGATGAAATAATACAAAGACTTGAATCACAACTGCAGGAAAATGAGAAACAGGTGCCAGTCACAAAAAGTAAGTATTTTATTAGATCATGGTTATATGTGGCTTGCATAGGTTTATTTTAATTTTCTTTATTATTTTCATAAGCTAAAATTTTTGTTCTATTTATGCAATTCCAGTGTATGGAGTTAAAGTCATTGAACTGGAGGATCAGGATATTAAAGAGAAACAGATTCCTTTAGGTGAGCTGCTGAACATGATGTTTTGTAATGCATCATGTCATCATGTTAGCCTTTTTATGAGCTTTTTAGTATATCATGAATTAAATTGATACACATTATTATTTTATGTGTAGAAGATCAAGTGATTGTAAAGAAAGAGAAGATGGATGTCACTCTACATGAACATGATCAATTTAGCACCAAAGGAACTAATTCTGTTGGAGTGCAATTTAACTACATGATCCCCTCAATGGGTAAGTGTAGTTCAAGACATCAATTTTATTTTACTTTACTGTATTTACAGATAATTTGGAATGTCTGAGTGATGTCCAGGTAGCAGAGAAAAAGCTGTTCTTAATTCAAGGAGACAAACCTCAACTGATGAATTGGGAGGAATATGGTCTAAGGATTGGAGTACAAGAAGGAAGCCTATTGTCCTCTGAGACAGTAGAAGCAGCAGTGGTTGCTCTTGTAGGAGGACAGTTCCAGTTTCCTCCTAATACTGTCCTAGTGAGTGCTGTGTATGCAGTATCACTCTCAAAGCCTCTCCTCAAACGACTCAAGTTAGAGATACAGCACTGCGTTGATTTAGCAGGACGACCAGATCTTGTACAATACTTAAAGTTTGCTATAGCTCCCGTGAGCACACCCAGTCTTCCTTATCAGTTCTCAATAATTGAGGGAGGAGAGTTTAGCTCTAATAGTGGGTATGGATCCATTCAACGTAACAAGTTCTGTTTGGTTTGTATACTGGGGAAAGAATGGACTAATGGAGACACAGAGGAAGAGGCTGAGGAACAGCAACTACAACAAGAGGAGAATGAGGAGGAGGAGGGAGACAAAGAGGAAGGAGAGTGTAGTGATAGTGATGATGATGATACCAGCAGTACTCCACCAGGGGCTAGTGGAGCATGTAAAGGTTAGTTAGTGAGTCTATTGATGATAATGTAATGTATTCCACTACTGAATAGAGTCTACTACTAAAGAGATTAACCTCCCAACCAATACAGTGTCTGTTGCTGGTCCTACTACTACTACACCAAACACTGATCATGTTAACAGTAAGTACAAGTATATGAATACATGTACTCCATTGCTAATATTATAGAAGTGCTGTCCACTGGTGTAAAGAAGGCTGTGACATATGCTGGTCTGGTTTATTAAGAGGAAGATGGCATAGAGGATCTGGTGACATTCACTGCAGCTAAGAATTTG